AATTCCAGGTTCCGATTTGTTTCCCCGTAAGCCGGCCGGTTTCCATGAAAGCCGGCCGGGGTTTGGCAGCGTAGCTTTAATCCCAAAATTTAATCCAAAAGCCGGCCGGTTTCTGTGAAAGCCGGCCGGTTTTCATCCCCCGAAGTTTAATTAAACTTATTCAATCCAAAAGCCGGCCGGTCTTCGTCAAAAGCCGGCCGGTTTTCTCTGCCGCAGGTCAATTCGATTTATTTATCCTCAAAACCGGCCGGGCTTTGCCAAGGCCGGGCGGTTTTGAGTGTTTACAAAACTTAACAATTCCCGTAAGCCGGCCGGTCTTTACAAAAGCCGGCCGGGTTTCGTCGCCGTAGCTTAATTCTACTTTATTTAATCCCAAAGCCGGCCGGGTTTCACCCAAGCCGCCCGGTTTTTGCCATTTCAAAAAAAATGTTTTTAGTTTTCCTTGCCAAAACCGGCCGGTTTTCCCCTAGGCCGGCCGGCAATTGACCCCTGGAACCTTTGTAACTGAAACATGTATTGAAGTCTAGCTTTTAAGAAGGAGTACCTGTAATGGTGGACGCGCCCATGCAAGAATTTGTCTCCTTCCCCGTGTGAACTCATCGTTGAGTCCTTCCTTGATTCCCGGAGTGTATGTTGATCACATTATCTCCTCTATGTCGTGTGCTCGCTTGAGACGGCCCCGCTAGGTTCATATCCCCCATGGTTCCTTCATTAGCTCCCGAAGTAGTGTTACTCCCCCGTTGAGGACAATGGAACTTCATGTGTCCCGTATCCCCACAAAAGAAACACCTCTTTGGTTCACGACAAGTCCCGTAGTGGTACTTATCGCAATTATCACATCTTCGCACCCTAGAACTAAAGGATTTTCCTCCTTGGGTCACGGACCCTTGATTGTATGTTGACGGTGGCATAGGCATTTTAAAACCTCTCTCCACCCCGGTATTTTGTCTTTTGCTTTGATTATAGGAATCACTGATTTCCCACATCCTCTTTCTAGCCTCCTCGGCATCTTTAGCCTTTCTTTCTTCCCATAATTCTTCCCCAATAAGGCCTCGTGTCACCACCTCATTAAAAGTCATGTTATTTTGGTACGCCGCCCTCTCACGCACTTCCAAATTCAACGCGTTCCAGAAGTGGTCGACCATACGGTTCTCATTCCCTGCATATTCAGGAAGATATCTAGCCAAGTCTCGAAACTTTTGCTCCAATTGTTTGACGGTGTACTCGTCACCTTGTTTGATGGTAGTGTACTCCCTCCTCTTTTGATTTACCTCAAAGGAAGAGTAGTATTGTCTATAAAATTCAAGCTCAAAGTTGTCCCACGTGACATCTCCGTTGTATTTCCCCTTGACACCCTCCCACCATGTTGAAGCCAATCCCTCCAACATTCTAGTGGCAACTCTCATCTTTAGATTAGGCGTCAATTGCATATCATTGGCTGCCTCATTAAGCCTCTTAACCCAATCATCAGCCTCAGATATATCCCCCGTTCCATCGAACGGTTTACATCCGAGCGCCCTTGCCTCTTTAAGATATTTAGAGACCCTTATAAAAGGACCCTCGGTACTTGGATTTCTAGTACCCTCTCTATGTGCCCAGCACGCGTCATGACTTCCCCTCTTGGAAGCCACTTGCCCAACTCGCCTCTCTTGGCGTTGTTTCTTTCTTAGTTCTCGTTCACGTTGGTATTTTTCAAATACCTGACTAATTCCATCCAAGGAGACATCATTGTCCTCCTCACTAATAAAATCATCACCCTCATCATATGAGGTTTCAGAAGGTTCTGTTTCGGGTTTATACGTTGAGTCTTCTTCGGACTCCCAAGACCTATACTCGGTCTCAAACTGTGCGTTATCCTTCATTTGGATCCCATGGCCTCCTCGGCCTCTCCCTTTTCCTCTAGATACCCTAGAGTTCCCCCGGTTGACATGCCCGGTTTCTCCCGGTGCACGCCCTATCCGATCATTCCTAGTCATCATGCCTCCACCTCGCATTTCTGAAAGAAATTTTTTTGGAATGAGTCATCAGACTCGCTTCAATGTCAACTGACAGATAAGTACTTAAGACACCACTTGGCTCAAATCACCGCCATACCAATTGTTAAGGGGCCCGTCTTAACAATCAGAGACTTTACAACTCAAGTACCAAAGGCTCTTTCAGCACAAAACTTTTATGCTCATGGTTTCAAAAATCATTTTGAAGAAAACACTTTTGAGGAACTTCATTATGAAGTTTATGGACTAAGGCTCTGATACCATTTAATTGTCACGCCCCGGTCTGGCCGGACGCGCTAACAACCGCCGCATAATCCGATTAAGGCAACCGCAGTTCACCCTACTCGAACCATGCAAGGCGTACATGAATACCATTCACACAAGTACATCCATAAACAATCATAAATAAAGCATTTCAAATATACGCAGCGGAATACAAATACTTTTTAAAAAGTAAAAGGCCACACAGGGCGAACATGAGCACGCAGGCTCCCAAATCATTTATAATTTAAAAATAGTTCCATGAGCATATTTTATTTATATCAAAATAGAACTGGAAGAAGCACGAACCACGTCTTCTCTCCATGGATCACCCGAAGCAACGGGAACAGGAAGCAAGCTCTAGCTTCTACCTGAAACTGTGAGGTGGCCTCCCCCGTGAAGGGGAGGTCAGTACTTGGAAGCATTTGACAAGTACAATGACAACTATACTGAATATAATTCATGTTTCAAACATAAGACCCTCAAAATAGGGTGATACTATATTATGGGCATAACCTACAGCTACCCCATTTCAAATCACTTGTATAGAATATATATACCAAGTCAAATAGCCGACCCGTAGGTCCATTTGTATTTCAAAACAATTCCCCTTGTACAGCCCTTGGCCTATTCTTGCATATAGCAATATCGAGAGGTTATCCCACCCCTAGTCTAAACCCAACTCCATCGAGAGGGTTACACAATTTATCATTTGTACTCGTCCACGTTGGACTTACCCACCCTACGGGTGTATTCATTCATTTTGGGCTTACACCCCCAGCATTTTATCTTTGATTCATTTAGGGCTTACACACCCCGTATATTCTTAGTTTGTGTAGGGCTTACACACCCCGTATAATACTTTACTCATTTAGGGCTTACACACCCCGCGTAATACTTTACTCATTTAGGGCTTACACACCCCGCGTAATACTTTACTCATTTAGGGCTTACACACCCCGTATAATACTTCATTCATTAGGGCTTACACACCCCGCGTAATGCTTTATTCATTAGGGCTTACACACCCCGCGTAATACTTTATTCGTGTAGGGCTTACACACCCCGCGTAATATCCTTTATCTCGTTAGGGCTTACACACCCCGTATATATATCCCCGTATACTCATTGTACACGAGCAATCATAATCTATCAACCTCGGGCTAGTCTTCATCAAGACTCCCCGGGCTGCCTTCATATAGTCTAGGTAGACTCCACCATTTCCTTTGAGTGTGACCATAGTCCATCACTCATTCTAAGTTCATGCCTATCTAATTCAATACTATAGATAGCACATACAATTAATCACTACGGATTCATATCACTTTGATCATGTCAATAACTCAAGTATTCCTGCTTCACATTTAATCATTTTGCCTATCCACATAGGTATCCATATATCCCTTTTAAGATCTTATGGAATCACACATTTATCAACATTTGTCTATATCATACTAATCCTCTATATCAATTCAATAATTAATATATTTCAAGGATTTCTCCCCTCATGCATAATGCCTTTGCTTATTCACCTTTGTAATATCATGTATCAATTTATATGACCACATAGCAACACATTTATTCACATTGGAGTATATCATTTAATTCCATCAAAATCATAATTTGATTACTTAGGTAATCTCATGCTCAACTCACGAGTTATAGACAATATAGTCAGCCATCCTCACCTTAAATAAGTCCAGCAAGGTTGCCTATTGAAGCCCCGTCGTTAAACCTTCGATCGGGAATGATCTGAATCCACCTTGGCTGGCAGAGGACAAAAGCCGCCCGGCTTTTGCAAAAGCTGCCCGGCTTTCGGGTTCTGCTGCACGAAAACAGCACCTAGAAGTGGCGGTTTCCGGCGATTTCGATTCCTATCGATTCCACAACTCTTCTAAGTTAATTACCAACACTTTATATCATATTTCTACACTTTTAAACGTGTAGAACATCCTCATTAATCCCACATATGATTTCTTAAAAATCATATTCACAAAACGAAGTAAATAACTAGTTTGAACGGGATTAGCATTCGGTTACCTAGAATCGAGCTTTCTTCTTCCCGGAATCCCCCTCTTTCTTCCTCCTTGCTCCAAGAACGTGTGAAGCTTCTTGTGAGCTCTCTCCCCTCTCTATTCTCACGCACAGCTCTCCAAATGGGAGGATAAGGAGACTCCCCTCCCTTATCTTCTATTTTTAGAAAGTTGGGCCGGTTTTATTTGGGTTCGGTTCACGGGCTGTTTCCTTTTAATTTATCCGGCCCGAAGCTATTTATAAATTAACCCTCCCGTTTATTATGAGTTACATTTTATGTGGGATACCCCGAATTAACGTGTAGGGAGCTTTTCACCCTCACACTTGCTATTTTCGGTAAGTTGGGGGAAAGAATGCCACTTGTTTACTCGGTCCGTCCCAAATGACTTTTATCCATTTATTTATATCATTTTAGGCTAGTAGACCATAGTAGGTCGATCCTAAAATGTATTGGATGGTCCTCCCCAATATTCGGGCTCATACCCAATTATGTTTCATTTATTAGTAAGTGGACTCAAATTGTCTCTCGTCTTATTTCTTTACCTTTTATTCGGCCCAACAATTATATTTTACATAGTCCCTTATCCTTGGGCGTTTATTTAATTTATCTTGGTCCAAGAATATATATTAGTTTGTCCCTCCCCATGTTTGGGGTCCGACTCACAATTTATTTAATCGGTATCAATTTAATCAATTAATCATTTCTAGTATGATCGATATACTTGTAACTAGTTTTCAAAGTGAATATATATTCATGACATTAACTAGTTATCCTTATCGAATTTAGTATTTGTACTTTCACTCAGATTTTAGTATCAATGGATTAATAAATCCAAGTTTAAATTGGGAGCGGTGTTACAGCTATAGCTAGAGTGCTAAGAATAGAAAGTTGTCAACCCTTTACAATGAAATAAATGCTTCTATTTATACCCGCCAATGGGCAGGTGGCTGTACTGACGTGGAAGCCTGTGGTTCGCTGGTGTCCCAACCGCCAAATCTTTAGCATTAAATGCACTTCCCGCCAGAATCTAGGTTTCCCGCCTAATTAGTGGGGACGTTAGTCCGCTAGGGAAGCGAGCCGGATTACTCCAAGTGGCCCCCAAGGGGTATTGGCCGTTCGTCCCCTGGCCTTGGTGGATTCTCGCCATGTGGACTGGACCGCCTCCGATGGCTATGGGCTTGCTCTGACGACGTTCGTCGTCATTCTGGTGACCCGTGGTCCTGCTCCTTGTCCCTGCATAGACGTTCGTCGACATGGGTTGTTGAACCTAAAGCCCAAATGCAGACGTTCGTACCTCCTGGAGGAACATGGGCTCGCCAGGCTAGCTTAGTGTCCTATCTGGACGTACGTCTAGAAGAAGGGGTAAATGGGCCGAACTTCAACTTGGGCCATTAACCCAACAATAACAAAAACGTAATTTGATATATGCTATACAAGAATAACTTAAAATAAATATACTCTAAATAAAATAAAAAATAAAAAATGTCAATATAGGTTCAAATCCATCTCAGACTTGTGAAATACTTATATTATGATTGTAAAAACAATTGTATTTCAGTGTTGGATTTTTTTTTTAATTTTTGTCATGGAATTTATATTTTTACACGTTTACACATTAGTAATATAAGATTTTTTTTATTAAATATGGGATGAATTAGTCCAACCGTTGTCATTTTTGTTTCTCATTTTATTTAATTAATGTAGAGTTATTTTAAATTATATTTGAATTGCGTATTCAAAATACGTTGCATACATAGATGTTAAATACTTGTAAGGGTGTGATTTACCAACAAGTCAATGTAGCCTAGTGGGTTCCAAGATGCAAATCCATCATTTTGGTCGTGAGTTTAATTCCTGGGGGCTACGAATTTATTCATTTTGGTGGTGAGTTCAATTCCCGGGGGCTAATTTTTTTATATTTTAAAAGAATACCCATATGGCTGATGACGTGGAATGATCGATGACGGTGAATGATGTGGAGTAGGTGATGTGGCAGAAATTGGATGACAAGGAAAAATCTACCCTCATTTGGGAAATAAGATTGGAGACTACCCTCTTTGGAAAAAAACTCTGCTCTAAGGAGATTACTCCCGGTGTAGTCTTATCGGTGAAGCCTCTCGTTTCGGTGCAAAGTACAAACTCGGTATTGGAAGAAAAATAAAGGGGAAAACTGTCAAATAGGTCCTCGAACTTTCATAAAAAAGTCAATTAAGTCCTTCTACAGGAGACTTTGTCCGGTCGTCGCGATTTGGGACGATTCCCAGTGAAATTTTTTGATGAAATTTTTTGTGCATCTTATTTATCAAGTCTAGTTTACTCATACCAAATTTCAGCTAAAAATTTAATCGGGAGCGCATTCAAATTAATTCGAGAACGCAAAAATGCGTAGTTATCTTCAAGAATTAATTTGAATGTGTTCCCGATTGATTTTTTAGCTGAAATTTGGTATGAGTAAACTAGACTTGGTGAATTAGATGCTCAAAAAAATTCATCAAAAAATTCCACCAGGAACTGCCCCAAATCACGACGGCCGGACAGAACCTCCCATAGAAGGACTTAATTGACCTTTTATGAAAGTTCGAGTACCTATTTGACAGTTTTTCCAAAAATAAATCACATAACCCACAAGATCAAGTAATGAAGCCAATCAAGCCATGGACCATAGCAACGGGACTTTCCTCTTATACCCTTCGTCTGTCGTCTTCTATCCTCTGTCAGCTCCATACTCGTGTCACAGAAGCTTCAAATCCATTCACACACGAGAGCTCCTTCCATCTTTACTCTCCACCCCCACCCACATTCGCCAATCCCTTTCTCACATTCTGAAAAAAATGGGCCTTTCCTCCAGCAAATCAAGAAACGACTCCTCACATTTGCCTCAATCACCTCCCACTTCCGCACGCTCTCCGCCGGCGAGCGCCTCCGTCTCCGAAGAATCTTCCGATTTGAGCTCGTACCAGACGGCGTGCGAAGAGGACTCCAGCCTCCGGGCATTCGACTCAACTCTCCAGTCTCGAACAACCAAAGCCATTAACTCTGTCGCCGGCAACCTCCTCGACCACCGGTCCCTATCCCTCGATTCTCTCCGGGAAGTCACCCTGTGCTTCCTCGACATGAACCAGGAGGTGGTGTCCCTGATTCTCGAAAGCAAGAAGGATGTCTGGAAAGACCCGGACCTCTTTGATCTGGTGAAAGACTACCTGGAAAACAGCCGCCACACCATGAATTTCTGCACCGCCCTGGAAGAAGCTCTCCGGCGGGCCTACCACAGCCAGTCCATACTCAAATACGCGCTACAGAGATTCGAGGAAGAAGAAAGTACCCGGATTAATTGCCCCGGTCACGATCCGATCCAATTGTACTCAAAAACCTTAGAAGAGTTCAAGAAATTCAAGGAAGCCGGGGACCCATTCAGCCAGAAGTTCTTCTCGCTGTTCCAATCCGTTTACAGGCAGCAAGAATCAATGTTGGGTGCCCTGAGAGCGAAAAAGAGGAGACTTGACAAGAAACTCCACAAAGTCAAGTCTTGGAAGAGACTGTCCAACGCAATCTTCGCGGCCGTGTTCGTCTCTGTGCTAATTTGCTCGGTGGTGGCCGCGGCCGTCACGGCGCCGCCGGTGGTGACGGCTCTTGCGGCGGCCGCATCTGTGCCACTGGGGAGTGTGGGGAAATGGATAAACACTATGTGGAGGAAGTACGAGAAGGATCTGAAGAGGGAAAGGGAGATCTTGACTGCGATTGAAGCTGGGAGCTTTACAGTGATTCAGGATCTGGAGAATGTCCAGGTTTTGGTGGATAAATTGCAGATTCAGATTGAGGAGTTGTTGGGGAATGCAGGTTTTGCTATGGAGCAGAGGGGGGAGGGGGTGGGTGGTGTGGTGGAGAACATCAAGAAGAAGGTAAGTTCTTTTATGGAAACCATAGAGGTTCTGAGTGAACATGCAGAAAAGTGCAGCAAGGATATAAGGATGGCTAATGCAATAATTTTGAAAAAGATGAATGAACCAAGTGGTAGCAGGAGCAGATCAGCAGGCAATGGTATGTTCTTTGGCTGACTGTCAGTCAGTCTATGATGTTGTGCTGAATATTGAACTGAACTTTGTAACAGATGACTGAAACTTGGATTCTCTTAGGGACCATGGGTTTCTGTATTTACTTGCCCTTCGAGACAAATTTGTGTGATCTTTATCATATCAACGATGCTTAGGGTACACGAAATGTACACAAGTTGTACACACTATAAATACCTCCTAGATTTTACCATTTCATATTTATTTTTTTACCCCTTTTCTCTCTCCCTTCTCCTTCCCTCTTCTCCTTCCCTTTCTCTGCGCCTTTCCCTCCTCTACCGTAGCTCCTCTTTCTCCTTTATTTTTTCTTTATTTTGAAGCTCTCTAATCTATACATCAATTTGAATCCTTCTCCCACTAAATCATCATATGCCATTTAAATAGTCATATACATCAATTTCAATCCTTCTCTCAATTTAATAGTAAATATTTATTCCCATTTCTTCATGTGCGCTTTAGGGTTTTTTATATACTTTTCCTAATTTCATGAATATTATATATGTTTTAACATTGAATATTGATTGTTTTGTTTTATTGTAAGCGATTTGAGGAGTTAATTATTGAAATCTTAGTGTAAATATTCTAGTTTGTTTTTGCCCATAAAGTGTTTGTTGAAATGATTAAATGAACTTTGTGTTCAAATTCAACATTTGTTTCTCCTTTTTTAATTTGTTAATGCACCTTGGTGTTTAATGAGTTTCATATTCTATTTATTTCAAAAGCAAGATTGAGAGAACCTTCTTTTTTACTTAACCCTTAAATAATTGACTCTTTTATTCCATAAAAATGTACTGAATTTTTTTAATTACTATTTTATTTTATTGTTTTAAATTTTAGTTTGGGGACATGCATAAGTATGCAATAAAGAGCAGCATCAGTTTTTTATTAGAGCCTCACTTGGAACACTAATCGACTCATTCTGTTTATCCCACTTACAGTAGAATAATCAAACTAAGTAATAGACTTTGATAAACTTAAAGGTTGTTTGGTGCATGTTATTTGACTGTTTTTTATTGTTAGATTGTATAGTGATTTTTTTGTAGAGTACGCTTGCTTATGTTGTTTGTGGAATTTTGAATAGTCAATGCCATATATGGGTTTATGGGCTTCTAATTTTGCTTGCTTTGATTATATATTTTTTCTAGTTACATACCTAGATGATCTCTTATCTCTTTTCAAACTGGTTTCACCTTTATGTTAGTGATGTTTGTGATAGATTCTCCTAGTTAATAGAAAATCAATTGAGATATTATGTTTTCTAGTTGAGATTATGCTATAGTGTTGTTTGAAAGAAGGTTTCTGAAGGGGCATAGACTTCATATGTGAGTTTATGGACTTCACAAGTGAGTTTTATGGTGCTATACTAGGCTGATGTTTATTACTTCTCAAGTGAGTTCCAATCATAAACTTTGGAACACAAACTTAATGTGTACTTAATATCCTTTAATTTATGCCTCCTTGGCTATGTAACTTTTTTTCTTTTGTAGAGAGAACTAAGAACTATGTGGCTGTGTTGTGGAAGCTTGGATGGATCATCCACAAGACAAATGTGTTGATAACACATGCATTACTTTTAGTTCCACATTGATCTATGAATTAAAAGTTGGGTTGGATGAATTTACTTTGTGTAATCAAACTTTGACCTTTTTGTAATTATCAGTTATAATTAGATACACTTCATGATTTTAGTTGTTTTACTCTGTAATTAGACTTTGATCTTGATGGTTGGCACTTGATCATATCCTCCTTCCAGGGTTATTTGTTAAGTGATATTGTCTATGAACCAAAAACGAAGTGTCTTTCACAGGCAATAACTATTAGAGTGGGCTAATGTGCTGCGCGGAGTTGTTTGTGAACCAGATATGGAATGTCTGATTATAGACAATAGCCACTGCAATGGGCAAATGTGCCAAGTACAGATGTCTATGAACCAAATAAAAATTGTCTGGCCATTAGAATGGGTTAATGGGCTAATATGCTAAGTGGAATTGTCTGTGAATTAGACATGAAGTGTCTGGTTACAGACAATGCACACTGGAACAGACTAATGTAGTAAGTGGAAATGTCTGTGAACTTGATATGAAGTGTCTGGTCACAAACAATAGCCACGCACTGGAATGGACTAGTGGTCTAATGTGCTAAGTGGAATTGTTTGTGAACCGGACATGAAATGTCTGGCCACAGGCAATACCCATTGGAACGTGCAAGTGTTCTAATTAAAATTGTCTGTCAACGTGACATGAAATGTCTGTTTACAAACAATAACCACTTAAAAAAGTTAATTTGTCAAGTGAATGCCATCCAAGAGCAAAACTGCAAAAAGTATTAGTCTTTAATACTTTTTTTTATGCTTTAGAGGCCTATGAACCAGTCCTTAATTCCGACAATTATTGCCCATGTCTTAGAGAACTTGTTGAATGAGATATTTAACTTTAAGACAATACTCACATTTGCATAATTATATAGAGCATAATTAGTTTTTCCATATATGTTAATTAATGTGATAAAACAACCATTCTTGAGATGCCACTTCTTGCCCTAGTTCATAGATAATTACACTTGGGACATTAACCTATTTTATTGACAATTGCCTGTGGCTGGACATTTCATTTCTGATTCACAGACAATTCCACTTAACCCAGTAGCCATTTAAGTGGTTATTGTCTGTGATCAGGCATTTCATTTCTTGTTAACATACAATTCAATTAAACATAATAGCCAATTCGTCTTGGCACAAACACCTATTATCCATGTCTTTGAGCACTTTGTGAATGGGGTATTAAAACCAAACACTTAAGAGATGGGATTAAATAATATGGAGACTAAACATTGTTCAAACATGATTATCACCTAATGGGATATTAAAACCAAACACTTAAGAGATGGGATTACAAAGCAAAAGTCTATTGGTAACCCCTAAAATGAGGACATATCCCCTTAAGAAGTTAAGATACAATAAATTAAAATAAAGGGCAAATAAAACGGTGTGAACCAATATACATGACCAATATTTTAACAAACAAGGTCAAAATCTTACTCCGTATTACATAAAGAAAAAACACTCCAACAAATGGATTTTCCTTTTACAACTTGACTGTGATTTGTGATTACATAAAAAAATGGGAATATCAGAATACTAATACATGGATTAGGCTAAATGTCATTTTGATTGTTGTGTTTCATCCTGTGCAGCTAAACAGCCTTAGCTTTTAATTGTCCAGAGCGTTACAAGTCACGAGCACACGTTATTGTGGGTTCGTTTCTGGACAAAACTTTTTGATATCCATCAATATCTGCAAAACTTTAGCAAATTTCAGCATAAGCATGACATAATCACCTTTGCAAAACAAAAAGTAATACTCCATAATATAAAATTGTTGCAATTATAAGGAGTGAATTGTGAAGATGATTGGCTATTTCTTAACTTTTTTGCATCATATGTCCTGATAAACCAAGGATTTTTAGACAAGACTTTTGTACATCTATATGTAAGACACATGATAACTATTAACTTGTATTCCCAATTAGGATTGGTGGGTAAATTATAATGTATAAAATGTACATGTAGTGTTGAAGAGGGCAGGGGAGTAGTGAAGGAATCACTCACTCCATAGTCTGTAAATCAATAAACAGAAACATTGAACTGGGGTAACCAGAATTAAACAAAATAAATGAGCATAAATAATCAAACACAAGCAATTTAATGAGAACCAAAATCAAGCCAAAAATACTAAAACAAAAGAATAAACATAAACCTTGAGATGGGGTATTCAGAAGAAAATTAAAATAAGTAATGAACACAACCTCAAAAAATAGTAAACAGAAACCTTGAAATGGGATAATGAGAACTAAAGTAAAAGTATTTAATATAAGTAATGAACACAAAACCAAAACACGAGTGATGTTATGCTAACTATTAAGTGACTTCAGCATCAATTAGGAAGAGAAATGGTGTAATGCAATTGAGCAATGATTCACCAAGCCCTAGTTCCAATTAATATTGAGTTCAAACTATCAAGGACAGGAACTCTAGGTATGTATTAGAATTTCCATAATGCATAAATCTGAAAAAACAAATGAAACAATTATGGAGTATTTAAACTTTTTTTGCACTCAAGTATAAATGGTGCGAGCAAAAATTTCATCAATGTTTTCGGTTAAGACTTAAGGAAGTAGACCTTACCAAGCATACTCTCGTTGATAAGAATTACGGACTAATATTGAACCACATAAAATGAAAATAAGACGTTTTTGTTCAAATATGTAAAAAAACAAGCATTGAATTTTCAAATGGCTTAAAAATTCAGAATATTGAATTATTTCTTACCGGCAGAGGGTTTTTTCTTCTTGGAAACTAGTGGGGGTCATCAGAGGGTGTGTTTCTCGTCGACTCACAATTCCTGCAAGGGTTAACAGTGAGAAGCCAACAAATGTTGGATGATAAAAGAAATAACGAGAATTTGGCCAGAAATTTCATTTGAGAACAAAACTGACAAGTTTATGAATGAATTAGGGGGAATTTATTATCTCATGAGTTAGGGTTAAGGAGGTTTAATTAGAGAAAGATGAAGGAGAAATGAATACCATGGTGGCTGTGGAAATGAACGATCGAATCTGGCTTTGTCGATGTTGTCATCCCGTTTTCTACAAAAAAAAAAAGAAAAAAAAAGATAAGGGATGAGAGGTGGTAATTTCAGGAGAGGGGGGACGGTTTGTAGATTTCGTGGAACAATATATCAAGTGGGGGAGGAGTTTTTGTGGAGGAGGAGGGTTACGTTCACAGAAGGGTGAAAGATTTGGAGAGGGGGGAAGGTTTATTACAGATTATGGGAGAAAGCTGGAGAAGAGGAAGAGGGATTTTCGTGGAAGAGGATAGAGGGAGATGAGAGAAAGGAGGGTGAAATTGTGAAAAGGAAAATGAGGGAACTGAATGGTAAAAGGAAAAGATGAAAAAAGTTATATATAGTGTGTACAAAACGTGTACTACTCATGTACATATAGCATTTTTGTTATCATATTGGCCATGGTTGGTAAAGGAGGAATGTGGAAAGTAATTGACTGATATGTTGAATGTTTTGAAAGAAAAATTGTTTGTTAAAGTACATTTTGGTCAAATGCTACTACTAGCTCTTTGTTTTGGTAAAAGGCTAAAAGCTACTACTAGCTTTTAAGTAACCATTTTTCCGCTTGATCTTTTCCATAAGTATTTTTTTTTATAGAAAATTGAAAAATTATCTAACTTTTTCCAATGGAAAAATTTTCAATGTATAAATGGACATACAAAAAGTAAGGTTGGTTGATAGCGAAAAGATATTCCTTTTTGCAGATCATACAAGTTTTGATGGTCGAAAAAGAAAAGATATTCCAACAACTCCTCTATGTATATTTGAGCATAGTAGTTAAGTTGGTTAATGTTCAGAATAATAAATTCGTTTTTAGAGGTTCTTTTTAAAAGTTTGTTTGATAATATTGAAATTAGTTGAATCAATTTATGATGCGGAAATTTACAAATTTTTGAACTAATTGATTAATTGTGCTGAATCAGGACAAATTATATAATACATGAAATATTTTAAAATAAAAAAAATACTACCTCCGTCCCATATTTATCTTCATAGTTCGGTTTACGATGCTTGACTGACGATAAAGCAACTCGATCCCTGTTCACACTCGGATTATTTTTAGTAAATAAAATTTACATATTCAGAAACTACATTAAAACTGCTACAAAGCCTGATCAAGAAAATTTAAATTTGATAAAAATTTGATATATAAAGTAAAAGATTAAGAGTAATTTGAGTTGACCATGTGAATAGTAACTATGAAGATAATTTTGGGACGGAGGGAGTATGAAAATAGTTAAAATAGTCTTTCACACTTACTTTAGTCCGAAAAGTAACTCTAACCTAATTTATTTTGGTCATTACAGTTCAATGACGAAATCCAAAATTACGTGTATTTGAAAAAGTTGATTGATAAGGTTGATAAGTTGAAAAATAGAATCATCAAACAAACTCTTAATATTACTCAAGTACTCCTTAAAATTTATGTATAAAAATGTAATTAAAAGCTATTAAGTATTAACAGTTATTAAAGTCTAGAATGGAATATAATCATGATCACTAAGTTACTACATAATATTATTGACACTAAATTTAAGTCTCGTTTTATCTACTACCTTCATTTTAGTCAAATACTAGTATTTATCATTATTTCTCAACAACAAAATTAACCATAATATCAGCAAATTCCAGACAAATTCACCCTTGTGAGACTACCAAGTACCAAATACTGAGTATAAGAGTTTCGAATTTGGGGTTTGTAATGTGAATCTCCAATAGTTAAATAAAATGCCGCAAATTGTGACGTAACGCTATAGCAAGTAAATTAACTATAAGCATCACTAAACATTGCTCAAATATTACTCCGTAGTCCGTACTAAATACTTATTGAATAACTAGTGTATAAAATGTTTCTTTTAAATGGCTCAAATTACTATTGAATAACTATAAGCATCAATATTCATCAATAACTAGAGTATAAGAATGTTACTTTTATATTGCTCAATTAAATATAAGCATCACTAAAAAATTGCTCAAATATTACTCCGTATAAATACTTATTGAATAACTAGTGTATAAAAATGTTACTTTTAAATTTAGAGCATTAATATTAGCGATATAATTACCAAAGGTCAACTGACCATAGCTAATTACCAACGAGCGACTGATCCAGATGATCAATGTTAGTAATATTCAAAGAACAATCTCAAATATAATGATAATCACAATCAATATTTATGATCATGAGATGATCTGCTTTGAAATTAGTATCAATTTCACGACTTAGAAAATCACATCCAGGAAGTGCGCCAACTATTTTGAAAGGTGTTCTTCAAACTCCTACTGAGAAAAAAGCAAAGCCAGTTTCAGAAACTTGAAAGGAGCACCCTCAAAACCAGTCAAGCAAACATTCACAACTTGCATCTACTTTAAAGTCCTACACTTGAACAAAATATATACTTTCAATAGGCAATTTCTTGATGCATGAAGAATTAAGCATGCCAGTCTCAATTCACTTGAGCAGCAAGCAAGAATTTAAGTCAATATTTAGGGTATAGCCATGTGCTCAATGATGCTAACCAAGCCAGACTTGTATGTTGGGTAAAGCAGCTTCACTCCCAATTCTTCTTTCATCCGGGCATTCGATACTCGCTTTTCACCTCTATAAGCTCCTTTATCTAGGGAGTCGCCATTAGGGTTACACTGTTTGATGACCCTATCCGGCCATTTCTTCTCCACCAAACTCTGAGCAAATCTTAACACTTCCTTTCTAGAGGCAGGGTCGTCATCTACTATGTTGTATACCCTACTGAAGAAATCAGAACGGAGAGATCAAGGAAAAAAATATTAACAAAGTATGATGTTACTTCAGGGAAAAAATAGCCAGATGTATTGTGATGATGGAGCAAAATCACTAAATCAATCACGTAGCGCTGAACATGTTTTTCCATTATGTCAGATTTTGTTGCACTTGATTACTATTTTGATTATTCAGATTCTCCCAAAGGGCTATTGAAATTGATGTATTTTACGGTATATTGCTTCTGATGGTAAATAAACGTGTTAGGCATTGAGAAAATCGAAAGAGGTAACTATTTTCAACTTTACCCCGGACATGGATTCTGGATGCTGGCATTGAGTGCTTGGCAGATGTCAGCAACATGAATCCGAGAAGTAAAGTTCTTAGATGATCTCATCACCTGACTCCTTGAAAGATTCCCCTTCTTAAGAATGGTATCAACAGCACTGCACAATATATCATTACAAAAAAGATCCCGCTAGTTTCAACCATTAAAAATTAAAATAGTATTACCTCTGACCCCAAAAAATGTCATGTTTCATCTAGGTACAATTTCTTAATTTTTGGTAGGGGTCAACTCTTACATTTTAAATCATACTTAAATTTATAGATTTATACTCCCTCCGTCCCTGAAAGAAGTTCCCCATTTGACTTTCACACACTTTTATGCAAGTAAACTTACCAGGTGGTAGGTTTTACTATTTTGACACTGTTTCGACACTGTTTTGCACTGTTTGGCACTGTTTTGATGTAGATAACTTTCCATTTAAGGAAATGAGAACTTAAATTAGGGACATCCAAATAAGGAAAGTTGGAACTTCTTTCGGGGACGGAGAGAGTATGTTTGTTCAACTAAACTTAACATACTTGACTTGTTTGAGTTATTATTATTTAGTAAAGAAGTACACTAAATAATGAAAATTACTTATTTTGATCAAATAGGACTTTAATTTATTGGGGCAAAAGTAAGTTTTGATCAAATGTTATCCATATATGCTCTCACAAACAAGGTCAATATTATAATACTCCAAGAACGCCAATCCAACCTTCTGTTAGGGCCATAGATGCCACCAAGTCGAAATACTTGTGCAGCAACCTCAAGATCAAGACCCAATTGCAACCATCCTTCTTCAGCAGCTAATCTAGCTTTGGCTGATTCACTTGTAGGCCTTGCTGGAAACCTGCAAGTGGTGATGCACAGCTCAGGGTATGTTTGGCAAGGACTTCAGGATGAAATGGCTGAATATATTGGATTTTCTGAACGCAAAAATGTTTAGTAACATCTATCTCAGCCAAGTGCGTAAGCCAAAAGTCACTTTGTCTGCTTATCCTGCTCAATACGGTAAGTTGAAATTTCAGCTTTGGACAAATCAATAAACAGATAACTCCCATTTACACTTACTCCTCATTTACCCATGCACCATCACAATCTCCATAAATACCTACAAGTCAAAAGAAAGTTCCAATAACCCACCATCAACATTCAGTCCTTCCCTTCACATATATTATATATCTTGGTGAAAAGAGAACATTTTCAAGTGAGCCATACTTGTTGATGACAAGTAGCCTAGCCACCTGAGGTCACCATCTTTCAATCTATCATTAAGTAATTCTCTATGTCGAAGCATCTGTAGAAATGATGATACTTATTAGCAGATTGTTATCAAGATAGACAGAATTTAGGGTAAGTTTGGATCCTGGAAAACGGTAAGGAAGTGGGAAAATGCTAAGAAAAGTTATATTCTTATGTTTGATTTTACCATGAGAATGCCATGAAAATGAACTCTAATTTTTAATTTTTTTCACAGAGATTTAGATTTCGTAGTCTGCATATAATGCAGATATTAAAATTATTTTTAAAGATATCAAAAATAAATTTATGGACTTTGAACCAACCTTTACTTTTCCCCCCATGTTTCCTTTCGTTCCAAATTTCCCCTATACTTTCCTCCAACCCCCCTCACCCTAGAAATTCCAGAGTTTCAAGCGGACCTTTAAAGTGATGAAATGATTAATATTGACGAAATATGTAAGATTTACAGGATCACCGAGTCCAGGAACTGTTGGGATGGAGATTAGAAGGTGTGAATGACATTTCATGACATCTAGGACCTCTGGTCTGAAAGTGGATCACAACCAAGGAATGATCAGAAGTAGAGAAAGAAAATATGACTAAAACAGAAAGAAACGGTAAGAAAAGAAAACACGAAAAATATAAGGGAAAGTGGAGTAAGAGTGCAGATGTTGAAATCATCATACCAGTAAATCAATTAACTAAAGTACTGAACAAGGCAATGTATCCGCCTATCCGGCTCAGAAGTAGGGTCATGAAAGGGTGAGATGTGGGCATACCTAACGGCCTTACCCCTTACTTTAGGAAAGTAAATGAGATTATCATTTTTTTTCAAAACAACATATTTCTAATAAATATGTGAATAAATTGTTCAACAGAAAATTTGGTTAAGAACATCCTCACAAAGACACCTTCTTTACCCTCAACTTTCCTTTAAAAGATACTCTGTAGATGACATGAGATATGCTATTAATTAACTTAAATAATAACAGAAAAATGTGATTCCAATTATAGGTTGATAGCAGAAACGAAGTAAAGATAAACACAATAAGATTTTACATCCACAAAAATGTAAAGGAAGGTAAAAAGCAAAGCGTTTACTCATCATACAAGGTAAAAGGAACACGTATACCCCGGAACTATGTGTTATAAAAAATCTTTTTAGAACAATTACCACACCAAAGTTGTAAAGTGTTAACAAATATACCCTTCAACTATATATGACAAGACATATATACTCCTTAATAATATATGTAGTATTAAAGAGCATGTATAGCTATAAACCATGTAATCATAAGGCTATATCCGTTCTAAGTTCTAACTTCTAACTTTGCAGTTTGTGTTCCAAAACAGAGTTGAGTGGTATATTTGTTCTCAGACAAGGCAACATTTGTACCTTCTCCCTTCTTATTATTTAGATTCTACAGCTAAGATGATAGCAATTAGCCAATTAGGACATCAAATTTTAGGATTGGGACTAAAGTAAACCTCACAATGGATCTTTGGCATCCATGACAAAAGCATTGTATCCCATTTCCTCCAGTTTCTTTTTCTTCTCAGCGCTGGTACACGTCCCAGATACTGTCCTGAGGCAAGCACAAACAAGTTTTAATGGGAACTAAGCTAAGCCAGTAGTTGAAAAAGGTTATAGGAGAAGGAGATATTTACCATCCTTTACACTTCAAATTTGCAGCAAAGAACTCTCCAACGAACCCCATTCCCAAAATGAACATTCGACTTTGGACCTGGGTCTCCCTAGTATCGCAACTGGGATTCAGAGTGCATCTCACGTAGGGAAAAGATCTCACTGTCTTGTATGTGTAGCATATTGAACTTCGGCCTCGCCGGAGAAGAGGCAACGACGATGGGCGCGATAAAGAGCAGAAATCCATCACGTAAGAAGCATCTGGAATAAGGTGCATATGTGGCCACACACATAAATATTAATATCAACAAATAAATTATTTCTTACCTTATTTGATTGATTTTATACTGACATGTTTTTCCCTACTGTTGGGCCGCGGGTATGCGGTGCCAGCAATTGTCCAGCCTGCCGGTGCAATCGAACCGCGTGGCGCTTCGCATGTGTTATAAATGGGGAGGAGCGTGCTACACTATCAGTGCAACGATCCACAATTGGTATCAGAGCCAAGGTCACGGGTTTGACCCCCGACAACAGCATGTTGCGCAGTTGAGGCTGGCAAGTGCTGGGAGAGATTGTTGGGCCGCGGGTATGCGGTGCCAGCAATTGTCCAGCCTGCCGGTGCAATCGAACCGCGTGGCGCTTCGCATATGCTATAAATGAGAAGGGCCGTGCTACACTATCAGCGATTGCTTTTAGTGTAGCGGTAAGCGCAACGATCCACACCTGCAATATCAACATCTAAACGGTCTCCTTGATATTGTGGAGAAAAACTTACCAAAACTGTAAAAAAATCATGCAAACAAGGAGAGAAAGGATTTATTTACTACGTAGTACTACGTAATATTTATGTGGTTAACTCTCATGCCACATGTGCACCGTGCATATTGTAGCATTGGAGATGCTCTAAACTGCTTAGGGGTTGTATCCTATTTTGGCGTTATCTAGCTTTATACTTTGACGAAAATTACTCCTACTTAAAGAATAAAAATATACTACTACCTCCGTCTCACTATGTTTGGGACAATCCGGTAAGGGTGGGAAAAACCGAACCGAAACCCGGAAACCGACCCTGGACCGACCCGAATTATGATCTCGGTCCAGGTTTTATCTTTTTAACTGGCCCGAATTAAAAAACAACCGGACTGAACCGAAAATTCCGGGCTCATCAACGGGCCTTAAAATCTATAATCCGGCCCGGACCAAAAAAAACCCGAAACAATTAGTTTTATTACAAAATTAATATAGTATATGAATAATTGAATATAAATAAAATATTAACTAATATATGATTGTAATCACGGCGGATAAAAAAGATTTAGTAACTTTTAGTGACTACAAATATGTTGAATTTGTTTAACGTAATGATGACCATGAGAATATATTTATAGCAACTACTAGTTTAGTAGAGGTTCAAAATAGTAGGGGTCGAATTAATAGAGATTGAGGTAGTAGGGGTAAGCTAATAGGGGTTCAAAATATTAGGGGTTGAAGTAGTAGGGATTGAGTTAGTAGGGGTTGAACAAATAGGGATTGAGTAGTAGGGTTAAGCTAGTAGGGGTTAACGTTCACGATAATAGGGGTTAACTCAATCCCTACTAGTTCAACCCTACTATTTTGAACCCCTATTAACTTAAGCCCTACTAGTTCAACTCCTATTATCGTAGACCCATACTAGCTTAACCCCTACTACTCAATCCCTACTAGTTCAACCCCTACTATTTTGAACCCCTACTACTCAATCCCTACTAGTTCAACCCCTACTATTTTGAACCCCTACTAACTCAATCCCTACTAGTTCAACCCCTACTATTTTGAATCCCTACTAGCTTACCCCTACTAACCCAATCCCGACTAATTCGACCCCTATTATTTTGAACCCCCACTAAACTAATCCCTACTAGTTTAACCCCTACTATTTTGAATCCCTACTAACTCAATCCCTACTAATTAAACCCCTACTATCGTGAACCCCTACTAGCTTAACCTCTACTAGTTCAGCCCCTACTAGTTCAACCCCTACTATTTTGAATCCCTACTGTTTCAACCCCTACTATTTTGAACCCCTACTAACATAATCCCTACTAATTACCCTACTATTTTGAACCCCTACTAGCTTAACCCCTACTAACTCAATCCCTACTAGTTCAATCCCTACTATTTTGAACCCCTACTAACCCCACCCCTACTAGTTCAACCCCTACTATCGTGAACCCCTACTAGCTTAACCCCTACTAGTTCAACCCCTACTATTTTGAACCCCTACTAACCCAATCCATACTAGTTCAACTCCTATTATTTTGAACCCCTACTAACCCAATCCCTACTAGTCAACCCCTACTATTTTGAACTCCTACTAGATTAACCCCTACTACCCAATCCCTACTAGTTCAACCCTACTATTTTGAACCCCTGTTAACTTAAGCATAGACCCCTACTAGCTTAACCCCTACTACTCAATCCCTACTAGTTCAACCCTGTTAGGACCCAACTATGATGATTTTGATGATGCCACTATACTTTGCACTAATATTTTGTGTCTAAGTTAATTCGTGCATTATTGCTTAAAAGTGAACAAGAATAGTGAACAACTAACTGGAACACAAAATGCAATAAGGTAATAACTTTTACCTTAATAGGATTTGTTATCCTACCAGTTAAGTTGTACACAATACCTGCTAAACTACACAAGTACTTAAAAGTGACAAGAATTCCAATGTACAAACTGTGTATCAGATTAAACATACTGGAACTATAAAATGCAATAAGGTAAAAATTATTTACCTTACATGGATATTTAGATCCAACCAGTATAGCTTTAATTTGGTACATAAGTTTAATCATGTCACTTAAAGAAAGAAAGTGATTAGTAAAATAAGTGACAAATTTTACTGTGAAATTTGTACCAAATAAATTGTACTGGAAAGAACAAAATGCAATAAGGTAATCCTATTACCTTAATAGGATATTTCAAAAATCCTACCAGTACAAAACTTATTTGATACAAAATATTCAAAGTCACACATTTTACTACTTCACTACACAAATTGAGCAGGTTCACGCACTCAGCTTTACAAGTGTAGTTGCAAGACAAGGCTAATACACTCAGAACGCAAGAGGAGAGAAGACATCTGATTAGGTGAATAGTGAAGAGTTTCAGAATAGGCATGCAGCGATAAGAAGGCCTAAGGTATGGGTGTTATCTTCGTACAAAGCAAGTGGTCTTCAAAAGACAAATCCTTATCCTGCTCCAACACAAGAAGACGCAAGTACAATACTTTGGACGTCTAGGATTAAATCCTCTTAACCAACGGAGGAGATTAATCTACTGGAGATGCCTATAAAAATAGGCAGAAGCATGAGATCAAAGGGAAGTCATTGAGTTCAAAGCAAGTGGTTCAGTCATTACACTACGCATATCCAGCAAAGGAAAAAGTGCTTGAACACTCTGCTTTGACTCATGCTTCACTAAGCTCTTAGACTAGATCATTCATTGTAACATTTATAGAGCTTAGGTTTTAGTTGGAGGTTAGACACTTCGTGAATCAATTCATGTTGTTGTAAACACTTAGGAGAACAGTTGTTCGGATCCTAAAGTGTGGTTAGATAGATAGAGTACCTTTTGATCCCCACTGGATCAATTGAGAAAAGTCTAAGGACTGAGTAACTTTGAGTGGTGTTATACTCATCGTGAAAAACCTTCAATCTAGGCCAGAGTTGTCAAGGCTAGATTGGCACTAATTGTATTGGGCTGAATACTTTAGTGGAAATCCATCTGAAATAGGGTGGGACTGGATGTAGGAGGATTACACCACCTCTGAACCAGGATATATCGTGTGTTGATTTACTTTCATACATACAGAAGCACACACCAAACACATCTCACTAAAGGATTGTAGTTTGCCAGCAGCATCCTAAGCAGTAGTCTTCATCGACTGTACTGCTTAGCCTACTGCTTAATAACTCACTCTCCTTGAGAGTGTTTTCCACTAGAAGTTATCTTACACTCAGAAGGTGCCTCAGCAGTACCCTGGTCTTCACCCTCCTGCTGAGCCCACTGCCCATTTATATGTGTCTTTCCGAACACCATAACAAGCCAGAACAAAAAGCCATCCAAGAGTCACCCTGTTTTTAACAGTTGCCTCAGCAGTAACCTGCCCACCAGTCGACTGCCAACTCAGCAGTTGCCTGCCAGTCAGCAAACTGCCTGTGCAGCAGTAGACTAAGCAGTTACCTGCTCACCAGTCTACTGCCAAGCCTACTTCCTCTTGTCACCAGTCTAAACATCATCTAAACTAGAAAGTTATCTCACACCAAGTATAAAGAGGTTAAAGACTTCCGCTGTGCATCTATTAATCTCTTAAAAGATTATAGATCAACTCATCTAGAGGGAAAACTTCATAAAGTTGAAAAAGATTTAAAAGTCTATTCACCCCCCCCCCCTCTAGACTTTTACCTCTATCCGGGACCATCAAGTGGTATCAGAGACAGTGTGTTCCTAGAGTCAGTTTCTGACTATTTTTGAACCAAAGATCCAAATCCACTTTTATCCCAAAACTTTCTGAATGATGGATGAACAAGCAAAGAATCTGTTGATCAACAGCAACAAATCCAATGACTGGAAAACAAAGGATGTATGGGATGAACTCACGGAGAGTCAATCAGAAGATGATCAAAGCAGCTCAAATGATGAAAGCTGCTCATCAGAAAGGCAGGAGGAGGCTATTACTTGCTTTTTTGGAATGACTCCAGAAAATAGCTCCTCTCACAACTATGATATGGCCAGATCCCATGAAGGTGACAATGATGAGGTATTATCCTGTTCCTCGAGCAATTCATATTATTCCAACTCAACCAGTGTTGATATGGAAGCATTGCTCCACCAATTTGAAAACTTCCAAAAAGAGCACCTTAGCTTAATGAATGAAAACTGTAGAATTCAAGAAAATCTTTTAGTAGCTCATGCACAATTGGGTGAAGCAATCAAAAAGATAGATTTTCTTGAATGTGAAAACATCAGTTTGAAAGAAAAGCTAAGCTCCCTCACTCCCCCACTCACTAAGGAAGTTCAACACACTGAAAAAGACACAGGATACACATCATGTTCCCACTCATTGAAAAACTCTCCCAAATACTCTTCTACCACAAAACATACGTTCAAAGAAGACACAAAGTCTCTTAGCCACCAACACTCCCACATCCATATAGTTCCCACAAGAAGGAACATGTCTGCTCCTAAACCAGAATCAAAATCCCTGTACAAA